CATTAGCATGTGTCCTTTGACCCGATGGGTCAAGAATGCCATTAACCAATCAAAATGCCCCATGGTAATGCCGGTAGAACCCGAAGTTTTCCGAATGGTAGTGATCATAAAGATTACATTGCGGAAGTAATGCGATGTCGGAGCACGATGTGTTGGCATCGATTTCAATTGACAACTGCATGATAGCTTTCGAAATAGGTGATTTGCAATTTTTAAAAGGTAAATTAGGTCTTGAAAGAAGAGTTTTTACATGATTCGCAATGATAACAGTTCAAATGTATTTTACCAAATCACGCAATAAACACGTTTTTTTCTTGAGTAGAGTGAACTGATCGTGAACTCCGATTTGACCATGTTATATCGAGGTGGAATTGATTTTGAAATAATTTTAGCTTTCAATCTAAAGACTGTGTCTATCGCAGAAAGTATTTACTTACAAACAAAGAGGTGCTAATTCCACAAATTTGACCAGCCGCTACATATCGTGCGACTAGGTCTATTGTTTATAAATTATAATCCACGACTGACAGGATGCGTGTCAGTCGGTACGTAATTATACTAACATCAGACAAGAGTCCTCGTCGGAAGCATTTCCGTGGTGGTCACTAATTTTGAGTGACAGTCGGGGCCGACCGACGTGGCGAACAAAGATTTTTCACATCTGATATTGGCATGTCAAATATGAAATCAAGCGCCGAGGTGGGAACACATAGCGCCGAGGTCCCAAGTGAAGCGCCGAGATTCACAGGTATAGCGCCGTGGACCTCGGCGCTAAAAAACCCTGGGGAGAACCCTGCCCCAGTGGGTAGCCTCTAGGCTGTTTCGGCTGTGGGACGGTCCAAGGTTGGACCCTTTTGCCGCACCCCGGAACGCCAAGCTCCCGACGTACGTAACACTCCTGCTGACTCCAGGAGCCTGGGCCAGGGTCACTTTGCTAGCCCCGTGGATCCACTTAGTTGTGTACGCCTTTCCTCCCTTCCCGCTAGTTCACCGGGCACCGGAGAAAAGCTTCGACAGGTCCACACCCACATATTATCATGGGTTGCACCCAATTGGCCAAGCAAGGCCTAGTTTCCACTTCTGTTGGGAAGGCTAGTCGAAACACCAGCAGTGCTTCCGGACTTACCGGACCTGCCGGACTCGTCGGCTGTGTTGTCTGCTCTAAGCAGACTGCCTTTTGAGCCTCTCCAATCAGCACCACTCAATTTTTTGATGTGGAAAATAGTCTTCCTACTGGCCCTCGCCTCAGGTAGGCGCCGGTCAAAGCTTAGGCGCGCACTATCCTTTGCAGACGGTTGTGTCGCTTTTATGGGCGATCAAGTTGTACTAAGGCACGAATCGGGTCCTCGCCAAGAACCAAATCCCAGGACACGATCCTCAACCGATCGTCATCCCCCGGCGGGCAAATATTGTCAGTCCGGAGGATCAGGAGGAATTGCTTCTCTGCCCGGTCCGAGCGCTGAATTGCTACGAGAACCGTACCAGGTTTTCTAGACGGGGAACCAAACACATGTTTTTGTGTTACGGCCCTGGCAAGCGGGATAAGCCGGTTTCCCCGACTTCCATCCCCAGGTGGATTACTGCGACTGTACTGGAGGTCTATAATACACTATCCTCCTCAACACAGACCTTGCAGAGACACCAAGTACGAGAACATGAGGTCCGTGCGATTGCTAACTCACTAGCGCTAGCATCAGGTGCCCCCCTCAAACACATTCTGAGGGCAGGATTCTGGAGAACGCAGAACGTCTTCATCAACTACTACATTGTACCTAGGAGACACCCAATCTATTGAGCAGGGTCTCTTCAGGTTAGGCCCCGTCGTAGCCGGTCAGGCCTTGTTTGCTGACCCAGCCCGAACGACTGCAGGGGCCTCTGCGCATAGGCGATAAGTCAGTCTCTGCATTTTTGCGGGCAGATTGTCTGTTCCACTAGCACTTCCTGGAAGCTCCCAGGTTTCGCTACTGTCGACGCCCTCATGCAAACTGTTTCGATCCTACTTCAAGCTTATCACCCCTGAGTTCGGCTTGGGTCTAGCTTTCTCGGGCACACCGAACCCTGTCACCACAGCAGCATTGGCTTCTTGCTTCTGGGACAGCACAGGCAAGGTAAGACACAACCCTTCTTGGGTCTTAACTTAGGTCTTTTTGAGTTTGTTTCATCCCGGACTGGGAAAAGACTTTCATCATTCCTTTTTTTTTTTTCTGTTTGCTTGGAAAAACCCGCCACCTATCGATGTCTGACATGCCTACAGTTCAAAATAGTTATTTTGACTGACCGGAGTCTATGGTGGGTAATTGAAC